GATATGTAGCTAGAAGAGCAGTGATAAAAAATAGGGGCGGAAATGAAAATGAACAAATCGGAGAAAAGGCGTATAGAACATCTGGCAGACACAAGGGAGCTGAAGACGAAGTTCAAAAGGGCAAATTACCACCTGTTCCCAACCTCCCAAAGGTTTTTTGATGTATCAAGCAAGCGATAAAGCGATATGAAAGAAGATAGATATGAAGGAAACGGGGTGGGAAGATCTGATCAGGTTAGCGGGTAGAGAGGGCTTGCGGTTTGGTATAGATATGGCACATTATGCAAAAAAATCACATGAAAAGACAATTGCAAAACGGTATTTTCGTTCCAGGATGTTCAAGTTTTGCTTTGATAGAGAACAATGCTTGATCTTTTTTTTCCCCCTTTTTTATCTTACGACGCTCGCGCCAGTCCAGCCACTCTGGTAGCAGCTCGGCCATCGGCTCGCTTGTAGGTCATACCGATAATGCCGTTGTCTTCGTCGTCCAAGCCCTGTAGTCGAGTGAGGCGAGATAGCAGAGTGCTACGACTAGCACTAGATGAAGATGACGTAGTGATCGAGTCTGCTCGTTTGCCGTGGTGTAAGGGCTGGGTGTGCTGGGCGGTGCCAAAGACGTCGCCGTGTCCTCTCTTGGAAGAGAGTAAGGGTTCCGGGCGGAAGGACCAGCCTTTGCCTGGCGTAGGGTCATAGGTTGGCTGTTGCTGTGATGTTGAATTGGATGAATTCTGCTGTGTCTGCTCTGTTGGAGTGGCCGGTTCGACCACGTCGTTGGTGGTGGGCGGGTTGTAAGAAGTGGAAGATGAGACGGCGATGAGAGACGGTGGAGGAGGCATCTGGGTTGCTTGGGAGGTGGTCGACTGGTATGCTTTTGGATCTGAGGAGTAGCGAGGCCCGCTCGATGCAGAGTCGTGTGGGATGGAAATTGGTGGTAGGCTCGCCTTGACGTTGGGGTCAGACGGCTGTCTCGATGGCTGCGGTTGCTGCGGTTGTTGGTAGGATGGGTATTTAGCGTGAGATTCGTATTCTGTTGTTGTTGTTGATGGATGGCGGAGAGTTGTGTAGTTGGGCATTGGTGATGAGTAGGGCACCTGGCTGGGTGGGTGCTGCGGTGGTTGTTGTTGTTGTTGTTGTTGTGGTTGTGGTTGATGTTGTTGCTGTGCCGGGAGCTGGGGAGTGCAGTATTGTGGTTGTGGAGCGCCGAAGGAGAGATGAGACTGGGCCTGAGGCTGCACTGGCGGTCCCGGGAGAGCCATCTGACCGGCAGAAGGATGTGGAGGTGGTGGTTGTTGTTGATACTGCTGAGACACGGGTCCTGGTGGCCCTGGTGGCGGAGGAGGAGGAGGAGCAGGATAGCCGTACCCCTGAGCGACGGATTGAGCGCGTTGTGGTGTTGGACAGTAGTACCCACCCTCCATGCCCGAGTTGCTGGCACTTCTCGGCCGTTCGATCGGTGTTCCTGGATGGTACGAGTCTGGCGTAACGTGTCTCTCATCATAGCCGCCGTAGTCTTTGTTCGACTTGGGTTCTCTTCGACGCATACGCACATCTCGACGGATACGCACTCTGCAGCCCTGCTCGGCAACTATACGAGAAAGAGTTGTACTCTCGGACAGGCCAGGGAACTTCTTTGCGCTGAAGACGGTGAACGCGATGGTCTTGACCTCGAGACGGAAATACATGTTCTTCATTGGTTGTCTCGACTTCATCGGCATGGTCATGCCGGTCGTGCTCACCGTCCCGACAGGCGACGGAGACACCTTGTCCTCGTCCTTGTTATCCTTGGGTTCCTCGTACAGACTGAAGTTGAGTCTGTAGAGCCCCTCGTGTCTGACAGAGAGGTCTGGGAAGATGAAGTAGCCGGCCTGGCTGGGACGGTCGAGATATGCGATGCCTGCAACTGGAACACCGGTCAGGACGGGACAAGTGGGCGGCTGGCCCTGCACTCTGCCGTGAGCATAAGGACGAGCCCATTCAAGCGTTGCGAAAAGGAAGAAGTTGGCGTTGTATGAGAAGGTGATGTCAGTCTTTTGCATGTCGTTGTTTGGGTCCGACTCGTAGATGCGCATCTCCACGATCGGTGGCGGGTCGACAGGACGACGGTCCGCAGCGGCTATACTCCTTAGTTCTCATCCTACTGATAACGCAAAAAAGAAGGCAAGAGAAGAGACGTACACTTAGCGCCGGCACCGCATGCTCTGGCACGTTCTGGCTGCTGCATCACCCTGAGCGAGTAGGTGATCTTCTTGCCCTCGCGGGTGATTCTGGACGAGGAGTGCTCCGTCTCATTTGGAGGGTGCAGAATGGACGACTTGGAAGCCATCTTGGGCGACGGCTATGGCCCAAAATCAGGAGTAAAAAGAGTGTGTAATATGTGTGTGAAAGAGAGAGTAGAGAGAATCGGGGCGGTTAGCTGGTATCCTGGACGGCCGTCAGTTCCTGAGTCGACAATCACGCAACGCCGCCTCCTCGCCTCGCCTCAACTCACCATGCGACGACTTATCGTCTGCAGTCCTTCGACACGGCTGCCAGTCAGACTGTGCGCTGTGGTGTGCGTCTGCCGTGCAGAGAATCTGTCTGTCGGCGTGTGGTCGTCTGTGCTGGACGGACGGTGCTGGCGGTGCTGCTGGTTTGTGTTGCAGGCGAGTGAGGAGGGAGGAAGAGGAGGAGGAGGAGGAAGAAGGAGATGAGAAAGGCGAGCGACGAGGAGGAAAGCATAAAAATGGGTGGACCAGGTCCGGGGCGCTGGGGCCGCACTGATCCCTCCCCGGAACAGGCGTATGGTACGGTACGGTAAGCACAGCGAAAAAGGGCAGTACATGACTGGGCGGTAACGGGCGTGACAGTACCAGCGCAGCGCCAGCAGGCAAAAAGCAGATGAAAAAGACTGAAAAAAAAAAAAAAACAATAACAGCCAGAAAGCTTAAAAAAGGAAAAAGAAAATAGGACGAGGGCCCCACAAGTGGTTAATAGGGGGGCGGGCTTGGCGGGCTTGGCGGCGACAAGGTGGTGGATGCGACAGCGGGAGCGCAGGTGAGAAATAAGATTTGAGATGGTGGACCTTGGCGGGCTTGGCATGCTTCCCTTGGACCACTCCGACGGGCTGGGCCGGACAGGGGTGGGGTAGCACTAAGCCCGGAGAGGCAAGGCGTTGTTATCTGCCGTAACTTACCGCTGTTTCCCTCTCGTTTTCGTACTTTTTGTCTTTTTGTTTTCCTGTACTGGCGGGCGGCGGCCGAGATGAATACATGTTTAAGGCGAGAGATGGCGGTCGAAGAGATGGAGAGGCAGAGAGGAGGTGAAGAGAGACGAGTACAGCGACAGAGGCTGGGGCGGGCGATGGCAGACTAGTCTGCACGAGTCAGACGCCACGCAGGGAGGTACTTCAGGAGCATGCGGCCCCGCGGAGACAGGACAGTGGTTGTGGACGCAGGGTGCGGGCCCCTTGAGCACGATCGAACAAAGGACAGAGGAAGAAGAAAAACACGAAAATCAGACCAAAAAGGGTAATAAAATAGCATCTGCCTTGCCCAGCCATCGAACGGGCAGCTCGGTAAACGTGGCGTCCTCGAGCCGCCAGCGGCCTTCTCGCTTGCATTGCTAATGGACGCCCCTTTTAGTGTATAAATATATTTCACTGTGACTTGTTAGGACTGGAGGGATGGCTTCCGCATCTCCCAGCACGGCGGCAGCAGCACCGCAAAGGTGGGTTCCCAGTGGGCGTGAGCAGCATGCAAGGGTTTCCTCCGGCTGGGTCTCTCTCCCACCAGCCAGGCAAGAAGAGCCCAACTAACTACCCGACCTGCCACACACAGCAGTTGCAACAAGCTGCACCCAAACAGCGGACGCCATCTGACCCGACCCAGCCTTGCCCACCTCCCCCCTCCCCCCCTCTTGTCCGTTCTTCTGGGTGGGAGCAGCGTAAGAGAGGTGCTGCTGTTGCTGCCTGTCGTCCCTCATGCCATGGACGCGGTGTCTGCGGCAGTCGCTTGGTTCCTCGGTTCCCTCGCATGTCTCGCCCTGGGCCCCAACGAAGGAAGACGTATATAAAAATAACTGTTATGTTATGCGCTGACCGACCGCGAGAGTCACAGGTTGCATGGCTGTGTCACCCGCTCAAGGATGTTTTCTTCAATCAAAACACACAATGACACCCACACACACAAAAAGAAAGAAAGAAACAGGGAGCGAGCCAGCGACGAAGGAGAGGGTGTCCCATCGACTGGCTAACGGCAGATCTCCCAGCGTCTTCATGCCGACTCGTCTTTGCTTTCTTGTTTTCGGGGTCTGGAACCGCAGTGTCGGGTTCGAATTTGCTCTTCTGTCTCTGCTCGCTTGCTCCATTTTTTTTTTTTTTTTTTTTTTTTAATATAATTTTATTTTGCCCCCACTTGTTTGGCCTGGCTGGTTAGTCACTTTCAAATAATACCATGCAGTCGCAGGCATCTTTCAAGACGTCACATCCTTACGCACGTATGTATACTTGCATATACCTACTTGTACACTGCCCTGCGTAGCGAGCAGCAGCAGCAGCAAGACATGAGAGAAGGATGTGAGTCGTATCTCGTGGCCATCGAGATTTGTTCCTTCAGAGTCGCCTTCGATCTTCAGTCGAACCATGGACAAGTCGAAACTCTCTTCGTGTTCGGTTGAGAGTTCTTTCGCCTCCTTCTTCAGCCCCAGATAAAGGGAAGCAGCAGAAAGTGAAGAGACTCCCAGAGCCACGTCGTCGGGTGTCCCGTTTACCCTTCAGCATAGTCATCATTGCCAACAAACATATCATCCGTAAGAAACATCGAGATCAGGCCATCGAAATCCTCTCGCTGTCTTGCAAAACCGCCTGCTTTTGACCCCCGTTTCATCGCATGGTCTATCTGTAACCGCAGGCACCCGTCCTGAACTAACGAGTTAGTTACTACTACTGACTGCGAGCTATTGTCACACAGACCAAGAACTAGTTATCAAAATAGTACCTCTTAGTACAGAGTGTAGCTACCGACTGCCCGTCAAACGCTTGCTTCAAAAAAAGAAAAAAAAAATGGGCAGCTGAAAGTTAAAATCAACCACTCACCCAAATAGTATAATGTACAAAAAACACTCGCACTAGCAAGAGCATAAATGTGGCGTGGCTTTCATCGTATAATAAATCAACCATCGTCGTTGGTGTCTTCTTCTTCTTCTTTCTCCTCTTCTTCCATGGCTTGCCTGTCCATCCAGTAATCGAGCAATCATCACAAGTTACCTGACTCGTTAAGCTGGGGAGGCCCCCCCCTCGATGTCTCGCAGAGCAACACAGCCAGCGTAAAACCCGGTCTGGTAAAAACAGATTCAGAGCCTGTATTTTCCACTTCAATAACATTACCCAATTTACCAACAGGGATGTTGCAGCAGGGTCAAGGCCCTTTTCGTTTCTTTTTCCCCTTGTTTCCTCCCTCCACCCAGCAGGGCAATTGAGTAAAAAAAAAGCCCTTTTTGGTCAGTATCAAAATCGAACCGGCCAACCACAGGACAGAAAATAACAACGCGATGGAGGCTTTTTCCTTCTCCTCTTTCTTCTTTTCTTGCTGGGCTCTGGCTTTAACTCATTCTGGTCCTTTGCTCCGGCGAAAAAAGGTGATCAAATTGAAGGGTATTGAAAGGTTAACCCGATGTTCTTCCATCGTTCCTCTCTCCAGAGTGTATGTAAATCTAATAATATTATCTGTGCATAGCCCGGCCCAGCAGCAACAGACGAGCCGTCGTCACGGTAGTTTCAAAGCAGAAATGTGACTGATAGCACCAGAGAATGATGCTTCTCATGTCTCATGAACCGATATCTGATATAGCTAGGGAGCTTCTGTATTATGGCCGTGCGACGGGAGGCCCTGACGTCGATGGAGTGGACTTTAGCTATCTAACTGACAAGTCAGTACTCCATATATATAGTCACTCCGTACTTACTATAGCTGGTGGCTGCTATGATGTGTCTCTCGAGTCTCTCTCTGGATGGACCTGACTCCCCAAAGTCGTTGGACTGTTCCATCCGTCTCACTTCCCATTGATCAGCCTGCTTGCTTTTTCCATTCTTGCTTCTTTTCCATCTCGTCCTCTTCCCTTTTTTTTATGCACGCGTGATGATCATGTATTCGTATTTTACAACTTGTACTCTGCGCGTCATCGCACATCTCTGAGAAAGTGAGTGAGAATATGAGACTGAGACTGGCTGAAGGTATCTCAACAGCTAAGCTACGACTCTCTTACTCTCTGCTCTCTATGCTTCAACTGTCAATAAGCTGTATCTTGTTCAAGCCGCACAACTCTCCTGAATCTCGTGATTTTTGGCTTGGCAAGACAAGCAACTTCGAGACAAGCAGAAATAAGTCAACTAAACGAGAATATCTAAGCGATGAAGTCGATCTTCAATGTCAGTTCCAGCTACAGACGCAGACAGCACGTCTACTGCGCTCGATGCACGCATATATGATACCCTGGCCTCCGTGGGCGAGCGCGAAAGCACAGTGGAGATCGAGATTCTGCCTGACGCCCTGGGACCGCTGCTCACAGATGGCGACGGCAGCTCTCTAGGAGTCTCCAAGAAGGCGCTTGTCCGGGCCTTCACCACCGCCAGACGGGCCTTTTTCACGTCCAATCCCACGCCAGAAGACGGTAGTGACGGCGATGTGGTGGCGGCGGCGGCATCGACGGTCATCCTGGTGTTCGACTCGGAGCACCTGACGGCCTGTAACTGGCGAAAGCGAAGGATTTTCAGGTCACTCTCGAAGCAAGGCTCGGATGGTGCCGATCGACCACCAACACCACCACCACCATCATCATCATCACTCCTCTCCATCGAGTGCAACTTTACTGCCTCCTTGCTTGGATCGCCTTTACACCGGCATGCAAAGTCGCCGACGCTCTGGTACCATCGCCTCTGGCTCATGCAGGTCTGCCTTCGTCATCAGCTGGCGCGCCAGCAGCAGCAGCAGCGGCAGGCCAAGGCTGGGCTGTTAAAACGCGAAGTTGAGCTTGTCCTGCGGGCAGCTGAACATCACCCGATGAACTACTATGCATTTAGCTATCTACGGCAGACCTTGGCCCTGTTGGGGAGTGGTCGTCTTGACGATCGATCAGAGCTCGTCACCACTTACGAGATTGATGTCAAGGTTGAACTCGAGCATGGCAGGGGTACTGGGGCGACAGCAGCAGTTCCAGAAACGGGAGTTACCACCTCCCGTCTGATATCTGACACCCATCTCATTACTACCATGCGGGACTGGTGTCTACGTAACCCTGGCGATAACTCAGGGTGGATGTTCCTGCTTCACATACTTACGTTGGTCCGTGAGGGCGGTATTGACGATGCTAATAATAATGACGATGAGGTGCGTGATGTTGTGCGGCAGATTATTCGCTTTGGCCGTGCGGTGCAGTGGCAACGGGAGGCGCTGTGGACTTTCGTCGAGATTGCTGGGTCGAGGTTTGGGGTGACCAAAGCAGTAAAAGAAACGGAAAGTGGACTAGAAGGATGGCATGACCAGGGCCAGGGTCATGGCCAGGGACCGGCAGCGTTGAGGTTGGATTTGGACGGCCCTGTGGCAAAAGAGAGTCCCGCTAATGTACCAGGCCCGAGGTCGTGGAAGAGGTGGGCTCAGCATCTCCCGTGATGAGTTCTGGATAAATAAGATATTATAGCGAGCTGAACTCGTGAGTAACCAAATGAGAGTTATCATTAAATGTTAGTAATAAGATGGGATGGGGAGGAGATTGGAACGTATAGATAAAAAATAAATTAATAAAAAGAACGCTATAACGCTATCATTTGAATCAAGGAGGCTGTCTTCGTAGAGGAGTAATCCTCTCTATCATCATCGTAATGCATAACATCAAGCTGTCTCCTGTTGCCCTGATGCGAAGATTGATTAGATCGTGATATCTTGGCTGGAATGATAGTTATGGAACGCGGCAAGTCAGACGGCCGACTATCCAAAAAACTCAACATAGGCCGACCATCTCCTGACCAGACAGACCAGAGCAAACGGGTATATATCATCTGTGAACTAACGCAGGTCGCAGCGACGGGAGAACGGCATGGCATGCCTTCAACTACTTTTTCTTCGCACTTCCCCCTTCAGCCGCCTTTCTCGCATTTGCTATAGAGAGACAACAAACCAGTCAGTCAACGGCTACGTCTAAGCAATCACCACCACCAAAGGTCTACGAACCGGCTTCTTGTTTCTTCCGCATGATTTCAGCCTGAGCCTCCTTAGTACGAGCATACTCAGTCCCACTCATTTCATTTTTCTTCTTCTGTGGACGGGAGTGTGTCAGTCGTCAGTCATCGGCCGCCAAACATCATGGAGCAGGAGAGCATCCACTATCGATAAAGGCCCAACGTACATGGCTGGCCGCCTCCTTGAGGTTCTTCTCCCTCGCCTTGTCGCGCTGATTACCGCGAGTCATGGTGCGGCTATCTTAACTAGCAGCTTAGTCTCAATCGAACGATACTCTGACGACGGAGCGTACGAAGCAACGAAGCAACGAGGCAACGAGGCCGTAGGGACGAGCAGACGCAGGACGCAGAAGAGCGAGTCGATAGACAGCGAAAAGTCGAAAGAAAGAAAAAACGGCCGCAGAAAATCGAAGAGGTTGATGGAAGCGCCAGGGTCATGTGACCGTGTAACTATATAAAAAAGCAACGAGACGGAAAGACGAAGACGAAGAAGAAGGACGGAGATGAAAATGATAAACGATCGAGTCCGTGAAGAGGAAAAGGCGGACGGTGGTTGGTCGGGAGATGCTCGAGACGCTGTGTTTCAGCATCATCCCGGGCCGCAGACGCAGTGCAGGAGGGACGACGAGGGCCAGTCGCTGAGGGGGACAACGGGCCATCCTGAAGCACAGGAGAGCCTCTCAGGGCTGCCCGAGGGGGGGCCCCTGGACGGGCGGTTGGAGGCCTCTGCCCGTATACTGCGCAGACATGGTTCAACCATGCTGTTTCATGCTATTCATATATCGTGAATATAGTTATGGAGTAACAGGATGGACTGGTGGATGAAGAGGAAGAAGAGGCTGCTTAAACTGGCCTTCAAGCGTTTCCCTCTTCTTCTCCCGTCTTCATCTTCGCCTTTCTTCCATCTCTTGTGTTGGTTCTTTTTTTTTTTTTTTTTTTCCTATTGTTCAATATATACCATATCAATCAATATACAGTGCCAGCAACCGCCTGTCAAATGTCTAATGGCTGACCTGCGAGATGTTTGATTCATGGCTCTCTCTCTGCTGAATCAAACCGCCCGGCATTCGCTTCTTATTGATCATATTCTTGCTGTCCTTAGTTATTTATCCCGACAGTTCTTCTGTCCTGCCGGCCAGGCCTTCTTCTTTCTCTTCTTCTCTTCTCTGACCTTCTACCTTCATTTGATACCATCTCCTACTTCTACTTCTACTACTGCTGCTGCCAATATATAAGATCATCGTCTTCTACCATGCCATCGCAAGCACCAAGTCTTGCAGCGCGTTCGCTCGCTCCCTCGTCCAACTACAGCTCCTTCACCCACAATAATATCGAAGAAAAACGACCCTTGCAGATGGAGGTCCCCAAGTTTCCCTTGGCCGGCCCAGGGTATGTGATATTAAATCTCGTTCGGGTCATGAACATCATCAGCCTGCTTGTCGTCATCGCCGCAAACATAATCCTGCTGATCAAAATCGTCCTGGTCACCAATTTTTTCTTCTTCGAAGCCGTCACTCATGTTGCCTCTGCATCCGTCTGCTGTACGTCCTTCTGCAACTCCACAGACATACATATATACCCTATTCTAACACGTTATCCCTAGCATTTCTTATTGTCTCGGAACTCAGCGTCTTCAGGGCGTATTTTGACCGGAACTGGCCCCTGCTCGGCGAAGACTCCGGCTTTGTGGCTCTTGGGGCTACTATGGTGTTACTCGGTATCTCGACTCTGGGGGAGCTGAACAACCAATCCACCCGCCAAAAAGAAATCGGTCTTCCCTTCTGGAAGCTCATCCTCGGAGCTGGCATTGTATCAATTGTCATTGGGACTCTCAATATCGGCCTGGTTTGTACTCCTTCCATTACGTTGATGTGATTAGCTACTCATTAACACCAATTGACACAGAGCTATGTATTCCGAGATCCAGATATTGGAATCTCTGCACGTCATGTTCGTGCCCGAGGAGCTGTCGCTACGCAAGAGGTGGTCAGTCGCAAGGACAGCTACAGATCCTTCAAGCTCTCGCACAAAGGCTCCCTGAATACCTACAAATCTTCATCCATTACTCCACGGATAGGCTCAATTCGACATAAACGACATCCCCAGCCCCCTAACGGATATCCAGTCCACATCTCTTCACCTCTAGACGCCTTCTCAACGCCGCTTGCCAACGCACTAGGTCGCCGGCGCCAATGCCGGCGCCCATGCCCATGCCTTCTGCAGAGATTGCCGCTTCCAACTCGCCACCATCTGCAA